CACAATTAACATCAAGTTAATATTCTTCACACCACCCCAGTACTTGTCAAACTTCTTAAGCAACTCTGTCGCCTTAGTCTTCAGATCAGGATCATTGCTGCTGCAAAGTCCTCTAAGATTGGTCGCCATAATTACTATCTCACCATAGCACTTTTGTGAATTGACTGAAGTTGAAGCTGAGACCACCAAGGTTGAGTTGTAGAAGATCATCTGAAACCGACACAACTTCTCAATTGCATTCCAATCTCATAGCTGAGGAGATCCCACCATGATTTCTCCATTCTCAGTCTCACGAAAATGATCATTGTATAGCTTATCTTCTGCTTCCATCTTATCAAAAGCAACATTGAACTTATGAGTTGTGGTCAACATTAGATATGTTGAATTCCACCTTGTCTTGACATCCAGTGGCAAACTTCCTCTTGTAAGCTTACCCGAGTCAACTTTCAGCTCAAAAGAACTCAACCTATTAGTATGAGACCTAACGTGCGAGATAGCATTATGGATAGCAGCCACATTCTGATCTACTTCATCCATTCCATCTCTAACTATCAAGTTAATGATATGGGCACTACATCTCATCTGTAAAAAACTCACCATCTAACACAAAAGCCTGATCTGAACCCAAAGCAAAAGTTCTCTCAAAATTCCTCAAAGCAGAAGTATTGGCAGAAGCATTGTGTACGGTTATACAGAAAACCATATCTATTCCCCAGTCACCCAAACACTCTAGAAAACAGATGTTGTAGTCTGACCTTTGTGATCCGTGATGTGTTTGAATCCTATGATCAGCTTCTTCAACCGCCAAGAAGCATCAATATAGTGCACTGTGATGACCATATAACTATAAAATGAACAATAAAAAAATATGATCAGATTTTAATATGTATATAAGAATCAAAGGATGTCTAAATTATAAACGATTATAGATTACATGTGGTCTAAGAAACCCAAATATCTGTTGTCACAGATATTCGTTGTTTGTTACACAAGAACCATTTCTTCAGGGCATCTTTCCTTTCCACATACATCTTGACAATGCTTTTTGTCGAACTTCTTCTTGATCAAGGAGTGAACAGAGTTGTCTACAAACTGAAAAAATAAGATATTAGTTAACGAAGACAAAAGCTTACAGCAATAATATAAAAAGCATAGAAGTAGAGAACTAGCCTTCTTACAGAAGTGTTTCCATGCTACACTTTCAACAAATTCTAAAGGCAATTGCCCTAACACAAGCATCTGGTTCGTGGCTTCTCTAAACTAAGCTTCAGTCCATTTTGCCTTCGTAAGTTTCCCTTCATTATCAATAACGGGTTGCTGTTCTTTTTCTCCAGCTGTCCACGCAAGATGGTTCTTGCATATTTCAAGATGTTTCTTCAGATTTGAGGTCCCTGAGCTTGTGAGACATGAAAATGTGTTCTGGCAGTAGTTGCATACACACTTGTCTCGATCTTCTTTGGTTCTTGTGTAGTGATCCCAAACTTCTAACCTTGTAGGGTTAATACGCTTCATTTTCCTCGGTTGAGATGTTGGTGAAGTTTCTTTCGTCATGCCGTCAATATTCGGTGTTTGAATGTATCATCCATCATCATTATGGGTTTCACAATCAATAAACGATGTTGAGTCCATCTGCAAAAGGAAAAGACCAAACACAAAAAGTCAGTTCCAGTTCTAAACTCTGTTAAAACTAGTCATAAAGATCCTAAATTCAAAAAACAAAACAAAAAAAACATTTTCAGTTATAAACTAGCTTAAGGAACACCAGACTTACACAAACAAACTAACTTAAGGAGCTTCCACAAACCAAACTGTATCTTCCTAAATTGACTCGACTAGGAACAAAGAAGAACAAGAGTTGAAGAAAGAGAGAGCCAATACCTACGATTGGATTCTTGAATGCATAGATGAAGCATGAGATTGAGGGGCTAGGGGATTTATAGTGTCCATGAAAGTTTCTTAATGATGATAATCAATTAGGCATGGGCGATTATTGACAATAATCGAGGAAGCTTTTTCCGAAACTAGGGTTCGTCGTTTCGTCGCCGAAGACAAATTCAGGAACCGAAGAGTTTCTTATGTAGGTGTACTGAATGTATAAATGCTCGGTCTTAATCGGTTATCCCGAATTGATATCGGTTTATAACTAAAATGACCTGCAGCCAAAATCATTGGGCCTCAAGACCCATTTGGTTAATTAAGCAGATTCGTTACCGATCCGCAACCGAGAGTTTGGTTTGGTTAAAGGTGTGGGCTTCGGGTTTAGTACAAAACTCCCAGGCTTAGTCCAAGCTATCACTATGTTCTTTGGTCGGTTACAATTGCAAGCCGAAACATTGTCGTTTGATGATGAAATTGCTCCTTAGGAATTCACACTTTGAGACATTCTCTCTCTCTCTCTCTCTCTCTCTCTCTCTCTCTCTCTCTCTCTCTCTCTCTCTCTCTCTCTCTCTCTCTCTCTCTCTCTCTCTCTCTCTCTCTCTCTCTCTCTCTCTCTCTCTCTCTCTCTCTCTCTCTCTCTCTCTCTCT